TGTTACAAATACATAACATAGTTGATGTCACTTCAAACCATCCACAAGAGTAGCATGTAGTATAGTTTCCTTATCCAATCAAATTGCTTGACACAAACTTACAACCAATCAGAAATGTTGTCTCACCTTGTGAATTCTGATGTTCATATTTAACTTCCAGGTGTGGGATAATCGATATACAATTTAATCCCTGTGTTGCTTCAGTTATATATACTAGCTATCAGATATCGTATTTTGTCCTGGTTGATGTCTCTCTCTACTAAGTTATATGTCCCAGGCAGCCTCTGTACTCAAGAGTTATTTTTCTCTGTCATATGTTCTCCATACATTTCAGAAACATATGTGAAAATTTACATCCCAAAATATCAGCATCCGGCCTTCCTTCAATCACTCACACTTTTTCCATGACGCTTGCCTTACAACTGAATATGTATCAAATGAACCGTATAGCTTATTAAAAAGATTCTTGTTTCCTGATAAGGAATTGTAAATGTTGGCTCATCAGCCTTGCTTAGCTCCCTGATGGCCATTGTAACCTAACTCCGTGGCCGTGGGATAGTCTCATCATCCTACTGGAGGCACAGGTTCAATACCCGACATGGGTACAATGTTTGAGGCACATTTCTGGTGTCCCTGCCATGATATTGCTGAAACCATATGCACTCTCCCCTACCATAATGCTGGAAAACTAAATAAGGAACAAAACAAAAGTTTGTACTAAGAATGCATGGTCATAGAGGTTGTCACGCGAGTGTGTTTGGGGATGGTAAATATCCTGTATTAGGAATAACCGTTGTATTTAGCGAGCCTTGGCAAGCTTAATACATAGTGTTTATTCCGGATACAGGATGGCTGACAAGGCTTTTTATACATGTTCGTATCGTTACCTCTACGTCGCCTTGATTCACATTCCCAGAAACTCTGCACACATTTCATCATAAAAGTTCACAAGATATTTTATGAATACTGAATTTTCTATTTCTTACATTTCCTGGTTGCAGTGGAACATCTCGATGTTGTCAAGTTACTCTTGGGTGTATGTCTTTGTGTATTCATAATGCTGGTGCCATACAAGTGATTGATGTTTCTAAAACGAACCTGCTGAAGATCATTTCAATTCCCATCATTGGTACAGTCTGTGAAGACCATACTTGGTGTACCCCACCATAATATGGCTGGAATATTGCTAGAAGCATTATAAAACCCACTCACTCACTCCACGGGTGGCCCAGTCGTCCAAGGCGCCGCGTTTCAATGTGCAGAGTTGCATCCCTTGGGCACGCCAGAAACCTATGATTGTGGGTTCGAATCCCGGTTCGCCCCGATTATGTTTCTAGGTTTGTCAGCACCATACCCGTGCTCGTGGGTTTCACCGAAGTGGTAAACGTCTGAGACCTGCATCACTTCAGACATTCCTCCCACATTAAGCTGACACGCCGTGATATAACTGGAATATTGTTCAAAGCGTTAAACCCAACTCACTCACTCGCTCACTCATCAGGGAATAAATACACTCTCCCATTTTCTGTTGGAATTTCAGATGTGTCATCTCGTAGTGGCATCATTGGGTGGGGTAGCCCTGTGGTTACGGTGTTTGCTTGTCACATTGCAAACCAGGGTTCAATTCTGCAGATGGTTATGATGTGTAATGCTTATTCCTCGTGTCATGATATTGTTGGAATATGCTAAAAGCAGTGTACAGTCTAACTCACTCACTCACTCTCTCTCAAGTTGTAGCATTGTTAATTCCTCAGAAATATGTACTTCTTTGTTACCTATCAGAGTAGAGAGATAGAAGGTAATAACTTTCCAATACTTGCATGTGTCTACAGTTGTATAACATCATATGATGTCATCCATCGTTCATGATGTCAAAAACTGATAACATTACGTCATTTGAACATTTAGGTTGTCTGAAGAGACATTTCTTTGTAGGGTCGTGTTTTTCTTTATATTCTCTTAAAATAACAATTCAGACTTACAGAATATCTGTTCCTGAATTAGTGCTGTGAACAAGTGCTGTAACTCCCTTGCCAAGGGCTCGGGGATAACGCCGTTCCTTCATTCAGGATAGATATTCAGTAATTTCTCAAAGCTCATTGGTTATTCTCTTATTCACTGTAGCTCACTTGAAATTTTTAATATTTGTAAAATACTGGTTGATGAATTTTTTTTTTTTTGCCCCAACACACTGCTAGCATCATCTTGGTTATAAATAGGTGTGATCTCCCATTTATCTCATAGATCTCCCAATGATGTGTCTCATCTCCCATTTGTCTCACAGATCTCCTTGGATGTATGTTTTCTCGCTTTTAGTTTATATCCATTTGAGATCTGTTGTTTTCAAGCATTATTTCATCATATACTGCTCAAAAGAAGTTAAGGTCCACTCTATTCTTTCATGATACTATATTTGATTTGTCATGCCATGATAGATTAACTATAGTAACGTGAAAGAATTGGCTGCTCTTTAACATGTTTTGAGTAGAATACTTGAAGGGTATTCATTACAATGCAGGGTCACGTGGGGGCACTTCTGTGCAGTGCTTGCTTTTATGAAGCTTCCACTTTAGTTTCTTGTTATTGGTCGTGTGGAGAGTACTTTTTTCAGAAGTGCCAAAAGCTATGACATCAATCAGAGATGATTAGTGGTGTAGAAAGTAGTATATAATTTTAGAGATGCGAGCCATTCACAATTTGGCGCCAAATGTTTCCAGCAATAGTTTTGTGAACTAATATTGAATTGCTGTATTTCCTCATCAGCTCTTAAAGGCAAATTATTGCATTAATGTCAGAAGCAATTATATAGGCTCCATCTTTAATTTTATTTAGCATTGTTTAGAGGGGAAAGGACTCAGAAATCATCTCTTGGTAAAAAAATCATGTTATATGCACTGCTGGGTATTGATGCAAAGGTATCAAACTGATTAGACTGTTTTATTTAGTTCTTTCATATCAACTGTTTGTGAATCATGACATTGTCTTCAATAAATGCCATGAATCAAGAAAATTGTTTAGAAATCTGGCTTGGCCAGACTCAGGAATGTCAACCACTATTTACAAAACCTTAAAATATATCTTAAACAGTTCTCATGAAATGAGCATCTAATTTGAACTGTGTGGGTAAATGTGTTCATGGAGGACTATCAAAAGAATACCATATTGAAATGTTCACCTATCACAGGAGAATTTGCATTATTTGTTGTGTGGAAAATGAATGGCATATCATTGGTTGTCAAATTAAAATTTTAGAGATACAAATTAACAAATTTGTGAAACAAGATGTTTTTCATTTGAATGAATGAGCTGGGACAGCTACAGAAATCTGAATATTTGGATGAAAATAATGAAATTTATGCCCTTTTACAATCAAACACTCTATAACGGCCCTGGCGGATACTCACACGCAGGTCGGGCTAAGATGGTCTCCAATCCTACGTATGGATTCCAGTACTGACCAGGGGAGATAACTCACATCTTCGCTTCTCAAACATGGGTGTGACAGACATGGAAGAGAAAAGTTCGCATTTTGACATGAATTATGCCGAGAAAGAGATAAAATGTCATATTAATGGGATACTCGTGTCCAGGTCTGTCTGTTGCAAACTGGGCACACGAGTTCATTCATTTCTACCTGTCAGAGACCTATTCAGCACATAGTGTTTGATCTTCAGAAGTCCACATAGTGTTACAGTTGATTACTCATATCATTACAAAATAATTTTGTTACATGTCCAGGAATTATGGTACTTCCAAACTCCAGAAATTACCTGGCCTATTTTGTTGATGTAGAAATGCATGTACTTATTTTCATGGAACTGGGCTTCTCTTACTGGTGATTACCAACTGGTTTATTATTGCTCCTGCACCTACTGCTGTCTGCTGCACTGATAATCCACACCTCTTGTACAATAAGATTGTAAATAGAGATCATTAAATGACAGTCATTGTTTTCTTTATGTGTCCTGTTTTCATTCCTGAACTGTGCTTCAAGGCGATTTGCTGTGCAGAGTTGCGTCCCTTGAGTTTTGTTTCTTCCAAAGATGAGGTGGTGAGGTGAAATGGGGTTTAACGTCGCGTCCAAGATTATTGCACTTATATAGCGACGTGCATGTACTTGTGTGTGATTGTGTGGCTGCTTGTACTAGTCCCGACTGATGCCGATTTATAGTGCTAGCTCACTGATACCATGCCGCAGTTTAACATGAATATCCCACTCAGACACAGCATACTGACTCCGAGCCGACCAGTCCTTGTTTTAGCCCCTTAATGCTGAGCGCCAGACAGGGTAACAACAAGTACCATCATTTAACATCTTTTGGTATGACACGGCCGGGGATCGAACCCTGGACCTTCTGCTCTCCAGGGGGACGCTCTACCACTAGCCCACAGAGGCAGTCTCTTTCAAAGACGTATATACAATATATAAACGTCTTGGTTTCTTCTCAAGCTGTCTGATCACTAACTTAGTTTAGAATGTCTCTATCATGAATGTAATCTGGTAGGATGGCAATTTTGAGCATCTTTTGATTTGAATGTGGCTCAAAATGAAGCTTTTTCAGGATCTTCATAATAGTATGGATAATAAAGGCTGCAGGCTCTCAAGATACATTCTCAGGGTTCGGCATGTACATCTTAAAATCAGCGCTTTTGATCATGATGGTTGTTTAATCCAGAGACAATACTATATTCCTGTTCTTCCTGAAGTCTGCCTGGCGCTTGGCTTTAATGTAACAGGGCGTTGAGTCAACCCACAGATGAAATCCTAATCTTCTTGGCTTGCTGACATACTGCATCCTTTTTGGTATCCATGTCAAACTGCAGTTAAAGGGCTAGTGTTACTTTTCAACTTGTAAATGCACATTGCAATATAAGTGCAATAATGTTGAATGTGACATTAATCCAATTTCACCTCCCCCTCTTCCTGGTGCCACAATTCAAACTGGACCAAGTCACATTTAAAATGAATTCCTGCTTGTGCAACAAAAAACAACAACAGGTGACTTTAAATAATGTTTTATCTCTTCGACATCAACTGTGTACTTCATTGAAGTATGTATTGTACGAACAAAGTAACAATGCTATTGTCATTCGTTAACCTGTACACGTATAACCACAACACAAATATACACAGGAATGATGATAGTACGTATGACAAACACAGTTCACATCTTCTTTGGGGAATCAAGCAGCAAGGTTAACCCTGCCTCCCATTAATCCAGACCAACTGGTGTTCTTGTTTTCAAATACCATATTCACCCTAATAAGCACCTTGGGCACTCGGGAAATGACAAAGGGGTGCTTAAAACCATATACAACATGTTAAGTCCGTTTTCACAGATCGAATGGTTGTGAAAAAACTGATCAAAAGTCAAGACGAAACCCTTTTCAATGATAGTTGCAAGGCAGTTATAAGACACCTGCACTATATACACAAGTAATTATAGACTGTCCATGGTGCTTACTACAGTGACTATGGGAAGCCTACGGTTCCCATTTTAAAAGAAGGTATTATGTTTCTTTAATTTCAAATCAACCATAACATTTTTAATACTTGCTGCCTCACCACCTCTGGCAAAGACAAACGTCTAAGCTGTGTCCCAAAAGATAGAAGCAAATCTGTCGAATCTGCACATCTATACAATAATTAGTTGAAATAAGCAGCCAGTTCGCACATCATACATTTATCCATGTCCGTCAGGAGATGGCCAAACACTCAAATAACATGCGAGTTGTTTTTATACTGCTTCGTCATCCCCTAACAGACACAAGTAGTACTTCATGAGTGAATTCAATTACTTTTTTCATCAGCAGGCCTGATCGTGTCAAATTTGAAACAAAATCAAACTAGAAAACAAATTGGCTTGGCCTTTTCTTATTTAAAGACCCAAGCAACCGTGATTTTGTGGATCTACATATATAAACTTGCTATACACACTCTGGCACAAAGTATCATATAATGTGGACATCTGTCCCATCATGAAAGAGTAAAATCTCGCCTTAGCTTGGTTGTAGATGAGGTTTGTAGCTCCCTCAGTGGACCAACATGCATAAAACCGTATCAATTTCTCTTTTACATTTCCTTTCAAATTAGCTCTTGTTAGACATGTTAGAGGAGAAAGGATTTCATGCTGCATTTACCTATCTGGCAGGGAGCAACCATTATGTTTGTTGTATTTTGTGGGAATGAGATCTGGGACATATATAGGTGGGGCAAGTGCACTACCAACTGGGCTCTAACGCTCTTGTATCAGTTGTAGTTGTATTTCAACATGTATACAGCATCTTTTCACAATTGCAGAATCAAACTGAAACATATAAGCTCATTGCAAGCACTACAAAATTAAATGCGGGGTTTGGAAATACATATCTTTGATTAGAAACAATTAAAACGGTTTCTAGAAACAATATGTTGTCAGGCTAACAGTATATTATTTCTATCGTGAAACAATCTGCCGCAGGAGTGATAAGGATACTGCGTGCAAGGTGGACATATAAATATTGACTATACATTGTCAGGGCAAATCTGGGCTTCAAACCCATAATAACAGGATTCTGGCACATCTAAACGGACATAACTCTTCACAGCAAATTGTGGTTTATATGACATTATTAGACAAATGGACCACCCATGCCCCCATCCATGAAAGAATCAAACCAATACTGAATAGTCTTATGACCATAGCTACCCATAAAAGGCATTGATGCTCACGTTATCTTTTGTTTGTTGTTTAACACCACACTCAGCAATAGTCCTGTTATGACAGGGGCCTGTAAATCCGGACCAGACAATCCAGTGATTGATATTGTAAGCAAGATTGTGATCCACACCGTTGGAGTACCATGACATGCAACTAACAAAAAAATAGTTCTAGACTCAAAGTAAAAAGAAAATGACAGCAAGACACACTCTCGAACATAAATAATGAGATATCACAGTAAAATTGTCATGCTGACAGTCCATGCAGTATGGCAGACACACACATACCAAGTATGAACAGCATTCTAGGAGAACAAACTGTGAACATAACATGTCAGCTGTGTATATGTTAGAACCCTCAAGGGATGTGGACTTCCTGTATTGGTCGTCAAACAAGATTGTTTGGTGGGAATCCTTTATGCTGACTCGGGGCTTTTCATGATGCAGGATTAACTGGTGCAATATCCAAAATGCTCCTAAAAAAAATGGTGAGTCATATTGACGCAGAACATTTATCAGTCTGTTCCAGTTCCTACATATTAATACATCTATGGGACTGAAACAGCAGTTGTTAACACGTTTCAGTCAACAAAATGTGCCTGATACTATATTGTTATCGATATCTTGGACTTCTTCAGTTCATGCATCACCCTCTAAGCCGAACTCATGACGAACTCCCAGTTCTCCTAGGCTAAGTAAAAATATCCCCGGATTCCCTACTCCAATGCTACTGAACAAGCATCTTAAAGGGGCTCCTGCAATCACAAAAACACACTTCCAGTCTTAAAATCTATTAAAAGTTTGTTTTTCTAAATTATACAGATAGATCCAGTTCATCTTTGTAACTCTTGGATACAGCAATGTGGAATAATCTATTTAGGACCTCATGATCTTGTAGAATCAACCAATCACAGCAACTTAACTACATCAAGCAGGGAATATAAGTCTTTTAACTTTCAGTGTTCATAAATGCTACAAAAGGAGTATTATCTGGGATTAGATTGGCAATAGAATGACTAGTGGTACTCAGTGTTCATTAGAAATTAAGAAATTCAATACAATGGTTTCAAAACATTGAAGACCAATCATTACCTCCTCAACAGGAAACATGCCATCTGATTCAGTACCATTTACAAATAAACAAGCAGAGCCCAAACTGATGTATGAGAATGAATAAATATCTCACAAACACACAGATGATAAAACAGCACAGCAGACATTCAATAAAGTGTAAACATTCAAATAAATATCTACTTGGCCAGGGATTTATCTCAGGGAGTTTTGGGGCCAAAATGTTTTATTGTTCAAAATTAGTATTTTCCGTAAGTTCTTATTTTCTTAATTTCAGAGGTATTTTAACATTATAGTTTAAAATTGTAGTTTAACATTGTAAAATTCAATGTGATAATGTTAAATTAATTCAATCGTCTTCCTCTTGATGGGATGTTATCATTGAAATGTCAGTCACCTCGACCAACCCATCACATTAGTCATAACTCTATTAACATCAAGTGGCAAGTCTTTGAGCAGGTCTAGATAAATCCCTGTGTGGTCACTGACTGTATGCAACACAAGAGCACGCGAGGTATATACAGTGAGAGAGTTGGGTTTAAACGCCGCTTGAACAGTATTCCAGTTATATCACGGCATGTCCGTTTAATGTGGGAGGAAAGCCCGAAGTGATGCAATTCTCAGACGTTTACAACTGTGATGAAACCCATGAGCATTCAGGCATATAGTTTACAGAAGTCAAAGGCAGACAAACTTCTGCTGAGGGAAAATCTAGATGCTTGGCTTAATCTGTTTTTGTAGAACGGTGCCAAACTAGTTGTGGTGGGAAGTAGCGAAAAAAGCTTTTTGAAGATAATGCCAGAGATACATATCTTCAGAACTCATGACCAATAAATACAATACCATATACACAAACAAGGTGCCATCTGTACAATGTTAATTACACATGGAAACCGCTACCTGTATCCATGGCAACCATGGAAATTACATACGGTAAAAGCTCTTTGGAACAAGTGCAATTCATCAGCTTGAACTTGACACAATAACCCTGTACACTGAGATAGGTAGGCAGGTCTATATGAGATTATATATTACTATATATTTGATTATCATTAGAGACTAATAATTTGATAGTCGAGTGTGAATGTGTGTGTGTGTGTGTGTATTTTTGTGTGTGCATGTGTTTGAGGTATGAGAGCTTTGGCCAGGGATTTATCAAGACTTCCAAACTAAGTGCCATGGCAATTCGGAAGAAATGTCGTTATTTTGTTCAAAACAGACATTTTTCAGTTTTATTTTCTAAAATTCAGAGGTATTTTAACATTAACGCCATCTTTATTGGTTATCAGTGAAATAGTGAAATTTGGAAATCTGCAGTTAAATTGGCCTGAAATATTGGCCTCTGAGCTGGTCAAGATAAATCCCTGATGGTTTTGTGCTGAAGATCGAGCTATAATAAATCTTATCAACAGTGTTGTGAATAACTGTGTTGCCATATTCTTTCAGGGAAAATTAACACACATTACCACCGTTATCTCCCCTTTGAGAATAACTCAGAAGTATTTTTGCACTGTTTCAAATTTGAGCACAGCAGATTGCTTGTTAGTTTTATTATCCAGAATATTTCTCCATATCATATGTCAATATAATCTGTGACTGTTGCTTAGCTGAGGTGCTCAGTCGATTGAGCAGCCTGTATTTGTTTCAAATTATACAATTTCATTTCATACATATACGCATTATATACAGATAATAATTCAGTTTTCTGGTTATTTAACAAATATTGTCTCAGTTTAGCTTTTACCATTTTGGGTTCATTCTGATGTGAATCTGTTAAGGATTCGGATAATATCACCAACAAAACAAAACTGTCTACCACATGAAAACATAAAATAAGTCTCCACGCCATATACAAACAATCTCAACATAATCTAATCTAGTTAATATATTAACACTTTCAGCCATTCAAGCATGGTATCCAGGGAAAAACATACCAGGATGACGCAGGGACCAGTGCAATCCTAGTTGTAAATATATATATATATGTTCAAAACACAACATGTAATACTGAATATTAACATCATGGTACATTCTTCACAGTGAATACATGTCGTATTCACCTAGCCAGGCTTACATCTATAGATACTGAGTGATTAACACTGTTACAAACTGACTCAGGAGAGTTTTGGATGTTCACAGAAAGAAAATGTACACTTAAAATGGCAAAATAACTATACTAGGAATCTCCATAAAAACCAAACCCTGAAAAACTCAATACCATATTTCATCTTTCTTGCCTTGGTGTCTGTAGTTGAAAAAGTCTGAGTATTATAAGATCTGAGTCTGTATATTTTGATATATATTTATGATTAGTAGTAGGTTAGACTGCATGGAAATAGTTTCATGTGTTTCTTGGGCATGTAGTTTTTGTCAACTGGGGAATGTATCCTATTCCTAAGTTGATTAGAACAAAGTCAAAATATTATTTAGAATAGAAATAGAACAAGGAAAGTGAAGTCTTACTGAACATATTGAATGTATGATCCTGGAACGAAACATTAACTTTAAAAAATAGAAATGAAAAATCCGACACACCGATGCCTGTGAAACATTTCCCTTTTTCACGTAGCCTAAGCCATCGCCTGTGGTTCAGATGACCTTACAAGTCATCATATTGAAGCATGTCAATGGTTATAAATGATTAATGCCCTCTTATGCCTAAAAACATATTATCCTTTGATTTGATTAAGGCTTTTTGTTTGTTTTCTGCTGTGCATGTTCACAGCTGCCAACAGTATATTTCTAAAAGGGCATCACAATGTACCTCTTTTGGAAGCAAACCCAGGATGAAGTTGTGGCAACCCTGACCACTTAGCTACCCTAACCCTACTGAAACAATAGAATTGCTGTTGTCATCGTTTAACATGACTGCCCAAAACCAACCTGATGATACCAAAAGACATCTAAAGAGTGAGTGAGTATGGCTTTACAAAACTCCTAGCAATATTCCAGCAACGGGGAGATCCCAGAAATGAAATGAGGAATCCCACTCGGGCCTTGGCATGACGAGAAACGCTTAAACAATTGTCCAAATCTGAAGAACTGTCTCATCAAACCTGTACTAACTTTGATATTCTTTGATGACAGACAAGTTTGATCATTTGATGATGCTAATGACTATACAGATGCATCCTATCCTTTCCAGCAAAATAAATATTTCAAATCTTTTCATGAGACATGCAACAAAAAACAAACTCCTGAAGAAATCACATTGTCTGTAGGTGGCTGTGCTCATGGAGTTATCTCTTAGTTGTCTCAAGGTTGGTTCTGTCAATAATAAATACATAACTGGTGAATATGATACCTAAGACTCATTGTTAATGGTGTAAGAACAAACATGATTGGCTAATTGTTAAACAACAAACACTACAACATCAGTCATATCATCCATCAGTACTGATGTATATATTAACATGGTTAAGGAAATGTTCAGAATTCATTCAACATATTCATCAATTTGAGGGTTTGATATAGGTCTTCCGTCATATACAAACAAAATCAGGTTAATTTGAACAACTACTGTCAAGGATCAACAGTTAGAGATTATAAGTTTTCCATGACAAGGTCAGGATCTGACATCCAAGGTCATCAAATGAACCATAAACTGCAGTAAGTGCTGTCACTGATGATTGCTGACAAACGTCCAACTGAATGGGTTAGTTTGAGATCCCTGATCAATCAGGTTTGCTGTGAAGCAGGCAGCTTCCTGTTGAGCAGACGACTTCCTGTTGAGCAGACAACTTCCTGTTCTGTACTTTTGAAGAGCCTTCTTAGGTATGTTAATCTTGATGTGAATTCTTTGCAGTTAGGAAAAGTATTTCTTCAAACTGAAGCCAGGTTGTTACTGTCCTTACCAGAAATAGGAAATCATATCCCTATGTTCCTGTTGACTGTTGACTATAACACCAAACACACTCTAGAAAACACCATACATACATATCACATGTACACTCGGAAATCTGTGAAGAAAATGAACATCTGATATCCTGTGAAAAGCAATAGGAACTCCACCCATGCATCTGAGCATCGAACAACAGAATATACTTGTGTAAAAGACTTGCAACACACGCAAATTCCTGCAAGCACGTCTTAATATGCAACGTTTGCCACAAGAGCAGACCTTGACAAAACTCAGGAAGATTTCAATGTAAATTATGACTTGGCTTTGCAAACAAAAATGATGAAGATCTCACCCACATCTTGTTAGCACTTTCTCAAGGGATGAACATTTTTGTTTCAGCAATATGACACTCCTTGTGATGTTGACAAGTGAATCAGATCTGACTTCCATTAATAAATTCCTCCTCATTTCATCATAAAGGTCACAGTGAACCGTTTCAGAGAGGTTATGGTCACATCATCTTAACAAGCAACACAAAAACCAAAACAGCCACTTGTGGTTGTCATATAATGCATTCACAGTTTGATATGAAGGGGAGACTCTGTCAAACTTAGTTGAAGAGAATAGATTCTGGGTCTTGGTTCTCCAGCTGAGCGATATGACGAAGCACATCCTTCTTAGTTATTATTCCCAATAAACGACTGCAAAGAAAAACAGACAATATTATCATTATACATAACAACAAATGTTTACATGCGTGCCAAGGTGACTCAGTGAATGGCATGTTAACTAGAATATGTTTACCTCACATACATAGGTCTCCCCACTCCTTTTGTTTGATTCATTAGCTCAAGTTGTTGCTGTAAATGTGTTTGCAAATCCCCAAAACAACAACAGCAATTATAGTCTGGAAAGATAATGGTTTCATGCAGAAATATGCATCAGCTGTAGAAATTGGCAGGAAACAAATGCTACTTGCAATTCCAGCAATATTCCAGCTATACTCTAGCAATATTCCAGTAATACTCCAGCCATATTCCAGCTATATTCCAGCAATATTCCAACAATATTCCAGCTGAATTCCAACAGTATTCCAGCAATATTTCAGCCATATTCCAGCTATACTTTAGCCATATTCCAGCTATATTCCAACTAAATTCCAGCAATATTCAAGCTATATCACAGTAGTCTAAAAAGGTAAACACAACATGAATAAGAGCAATTCAATATTTCAAAGTTAAATTAAGTTAGATAATCCTACCCATTATGTGTAACGAGTGTTTGTCGGAGACCCAGCTTCCGGAACATCTCAACAACTGTCTCCATCGGAGTCTGGTCTGTAATAGTCACTGGAGCCTGAAGGAGCAAATTACATCAAAAGCCTTCATTTGAAAAAGAAAATGCAAAATCAAATAATACTTTTCATTGTTAATAATTCTAAGCATACTACCTATTTTACATCATTCCCATAAATCCTGTATTTTGGTTGTCATTATACTGTAAAAATCTCCAGATTTTCAACAAAAATCCTCTTCATTGTCAACTAACCATAATAAGTTGTGCAAGTAATAGTATCTCGCTTCACAGGCCTCTTCCATGAAAATCAATTTCTTGTTCTCATGATCTACCTGCCCATAAAAATTGTCCCAATGCCTCTTTTTCATTTTAAGCAAATAATAAGTTAAGTAATGACATTTTCATTCACATTTCACTTCTGTACCAGATTTTAACTTTTTGCAAACACCATGTCATTGTGTCACATTTTCAGGGAATGGACCCGAACGTGGTCACCATGGCTTTGGGTTTATCTCTTCATACTTTGAACCAAATGGGAAATCACCCACCAAAAGTTACACGATACATTAAGTTTCCTTGATTTGTTTCTCGCTGCCGAACAACGATCTCGGCAATATTCAAGCTCTATAAGGGCAGACTGTAAACATCAAGTCCGGACCAGACAATCCGTTGACATCATGATCCACACAATTAAGATGTGAAGACATGTCATCACACAGGTTGCAGAATCCTACCATCCGATCCATTGAGTCGATTCTTACAACATGAATAGGTTGCTGGGGACCTAGATTTTTACCTGTCATATTTTTTTATATAAGAATTAAGCTTCAAAAGATATAAAAGAAATTATAAAAATAACATTCCCCCTCCCTATCAAGTCAGTTTTGAAAACAGACATGACAAAAAAGAATATTTATTTTACAGCCCAGAATGCACAGCAAGGGGAAACTAAGGGACCGGTCATTTATTATAAGGTGGGTTTGTCAGAAGGATTCAGGGGAGGGTCATCAAATAATATGGGGAGGGTCATAAAAAAATACACACATATTTGGGGAGGGTCATGAAAAATGGACATTTCACAATCAAATACTTAGAACTTTTGCATTTTGTGTTTTCAGGGAGGTCATGAAAAAAATGTACAAGGACATAGGGAGGGTCATCCAAAAATATAACAAGCACTAGGGGAGGGTCATTGTTTTCAGTATGTTACTGCACCAAAAACCTCTTCCATCCCTCCCTGTAACAGATGGCCGGTCCCTAATGTCAAGGGTGTGAACAATTTTTACCATATCCAGTATTTTCCTCAGTTTGAGCGGCGCAGGGCCGTGGGGGTTGGCAGGGACATGGCCGGTGAAGTACACCATGGAGTTACTCACGACCCCCTCCGTGTTTTTCCTGGCGTTCGCTGAAACATCACAGGTGAACATGACCTACTGTAATGAGTTCGACATGGCAACAAAACAGTCGTCCCAAATGTGACAATACAGTAAGGTTACTGCTTTCTAGATATAAGAGAACACACATGAAAAGGAGATCACACAAAATTCATAATGTTTGTGAGGTGAGGTGAAATGGTGTTTAATGTCAAGTTCAAGATTAATGAACATATATAGCGAGGTGCGCATGTTTGTGTGCATCTGTCCATCCATCTGTCTGTCTGTCTGTCTGCTCGTAGTTGTCAGGATTCTATAGTGCTTGCACACTGAGATACCATGCTGCAGTTTTAACATGAATACCCCATTCAGACACAGCATAAAGACTCTGAGCCTACCATTCCCTGTTTTTTTCCCTTAATGCTGAGCACCAGGCAGGGAAACAACAAGAAATATCTTTCAACAGCTTGTATGATGTGGACGAGGTTCGACCCATCGACCTTCAGTTCTCTGAGCAACACTTTATCCACTAGACCAAAAAGGGGCGAGGTAGAGCCTGAGTGGTTTCTAAGCTGTGTCCCTATAGTGCATCAAACACATCTGGCAGTTGTATGTTGGACTTACTGATGGCCAGGTTGAGATCTCGACGGAGGACGAAGCCTACCAGGTACTGTGATTCCCTGGACACCACCACAGGGAAACCGTTGTGTTCTGTATTCCGCAAAACATGCTCTGAAAGATAAGACAGTATATATAACAATACACTGTTCCCGTCATCAATCATCACCAATCATCATCATCATATTCATCATATTCATCATATTCATCGTCGACATCATCAACACCATCATCATCGTCGTCAATGACATCATCATAATCGTCGACTTTATTCATCGCCTTCGCCTTCTTCGACCACCACCCTCATCATCATCATCATCATCATCATCATCTTTGGGGGTTGGATCATATCGTCGTTACCACCACCACCACCATCATCATCATATCATATTTTGGGGGTTGGATGGACCAGCCCCGGGATCTCCACAAGATGGAAAAACAAAGAAGAACACAACTCACCAACTTCATCCACCGTCATGGTGTCTTGTGTAATGGCGCACAACGGGGGATCATTCCTTCTGCAAGAATGGCAAAACATAAATACACATGCTTTCATCCCACCATACTATAATACACATGGCAGTGATACATTCTTCTTTGGAGGAAAACTTTCACATGTCAGACGAATTGAAGATGTGGTTGGAGAACATACAATTTCACATTCTAATATTGTAAAACCATCTTTCCACAGAAACAAGTAGGAGATATACCTACTGTGTTTTGAAATTTGAGATAGTCTCACTGTAGATTAGATACATCTTATTTTAATTTGGAACCAAGTGATTCAGTGAGCGATTTCAAATGTTTTAACAAGAGGTTTCAATCAGAGGTGGTTATTGTGATTTGATACCTCTTATTGACTAATCAGAAACGACATATTTCCAAATTAGAATATTTTATCTAAAAGGATCATGAGGGTTATAAATCATAAAAGGTTTTTATGATCAAAGGGAAATGATATTCTGATATTGGAACAGGTTCATTTTACAGATTCCTAAAGCTGATTGGTCACAGAACAATGGCATCATAATACAGAATTGTTTAGAACAAATCAATATGTCTTCCATTGTTCATGACATCACAAACAGATAATGTTCCTTATTACGTCATCACAACAACACAAACAAAAGTAAAGTGTCTTTCGAGAATCGACATTTACTACGTTTTCTTTCTTGATGATGATTAGTTCAATACTGCAAAGCCATAGGCCAATAGTACAAAAGTATTTTCTCTTTCACAATCTGACAATGGGTAATCATGGTAACATACAGCGGATGTCATCACATATTGCGATATCTATGCAATCTGTAAATGTTGATGCTGTATCGATACTAATTTATGAATATCGATACTTTATAAATAATTCACTGCCACATAACATTTATAAGATTACCATGCATAGGACGGACCATGAAAATTCTATTATTAACATAATGGATCAGCCATGTTTACAATAGCATTAAATTGATTAATTGCAGGTCTTCATAGGTATATCTTATCTATACACATGTAGAATAACTTTATTGTTATTAATTGATATATAGTGATACTTTTAAGTATATATATCAATATTAAACCTTATGATAAATGTCACATTAGGGGACGCTAAATTCAAAGACTATAACAACAGAGACTGTAGGATACTCTTAATTTTGAACACTAATATTAAGTTGTATACTTCCAAAGAAGCTGAGAATGTAATTTGTCTGCACACGGACAAGGTAATATGTCTCAAACTTAGAGCACGCACTCAAGCATGCTGCAATATTATTTGTCTTTAGTAAGAAACAATGTTAAGCCAATCACATCTTCCACACAAGGTTTTGCTACATTAGCATACCTGACCTGAGTGACCTCCGTCATATATGTAGGACTCGAATCAATGGGGGGACACCGTGGCGGATTCTCAGATCCGTCGCAGATTCTCAGATCCGTCGCAGATTCTCATTGTTATATGACGCCATTTGATCTCTCTTTGATCTTGCAATGATCTCTATCCGTGAATGGACAATTTAGTTCAATAGTTATGACGTCATGCTTGAGATGATGCCATGCAAGTTTAATGTGTATTACCGATAGACACAGCGATCAGTCGAAAACGATGGAGCAGGACACCATAGCATAGCTATAGAATTTGCCAATTATTGCTATTATATGATAAGCTGCCATAGATCCGAGTATACTCCAATATCTGCCCTATTTGTGGAGTCTGCCATAGATCTGAGAACCCACTATGGATCAGAGCCCTTATACACATATTTTATACATGACACTGCTGACTAGTAATTAAGGACGGACATCTTTAGGAAAAGACCTGCACATCACATCAGGTTTTACTGTAAGTTGAGCAATTCTAGGTCAAAACGGTCATTTGTGTTGAACATACATATAATACAACCTTGTATCAAACGCCACAACATCCACACAGTCTAAAGAATCAAAATAGCAAATGCTGATAAAAGATTGAAAATACTACGAGCAACAATCCTGAAATGATAAGTACTGACTACTTGACACTAATGTGCAGACACAAGCATCAAGGGAGACAACACCGAAATGTACGAGTGACAGGGACTGATGTGGATTGAGTGAGTGAGTGAGGTGTATGGGTTTAGCCCTATTCCTGCCATATCAAGGCAAGGGACACCAAGCCTTTGCACATCTGGCAAATAGGTCTAGGTCCCCTTTTCACTAAGCGAATGTAGCGCTCATCTGTCGTAAGTCTATGTTAAAGTATGGGAGTTACGATCATCTTAGCGCTACAACTGTCGTAAGTCTATGTGAAAGTATGGGAGTTACGATCATCTTAGCGCTACAACTGTCGTAAGTCTATGTGAAAGTATGGGAGTTACGATCATCTTAGAGCTACGACTGTCGTCGTAAGTCTGTGTTACAGTATGGGAGTCACAATCATCTTAGCAATACGACTGTCGTAAGTCTATGTGAAAGTATGGGAGTTACGCTCATCTTAATTCTACAACTTTCATAAGTCTAAAGTATGGGCGTTATTGTCTTAGTGCAAAGATTGCCTTGTGAAATGAGGTCCAGGGCCTACTAAAGTGACCTTTGAGCTAAGATCATAATAACTCCCATTCTCTAACAAAATAGACTTACACAGTGGTAGAGCTAAGATTGTTTTGAATAAGGAGGTCCATGGTGCACACACACAAACTGTATGACCTCCACTGAGAAAAGTCCAAGTGGGTTAATATAGCTTCACGCATCTGTCAGCATTGTCCCATACCTGTGAAGATCTGTGTTAGTACTAGGCTTCAGCAACCCACACTTGTCATAAGAGGCGACTAACGGGATCGGGTGGCTGAATCCTTGACTTGGTTAATGCATGTCATCGTATCCCAAATGCATAAAATGATGCTCATGATCACAAAAATGTCTGGTCCAAACTTTATTGACAGACCACTGTTATATACAGTAAACTACGGTTATCACGAACTCGAAGGGACCACTAACCTTAGCTCGTTATAACCGTAGTTCGTTATAAGCATATAAACAGCATAACAATAGCAAACAGTCGGGACCAAAAAATCAGTTCGTTATATCCGTCAGTTCGTTATAAGCGTGTTCATTATAAACGTACGTTACTGTAGCTGGAATATTGTTGAGTGTGGTGTGAAACAACAAACAAACCAAAAGCATTTGAATAAAAACATAGATTTGCAAACTGGTCAAGTTTGTGATCACTATTGAGACATCAGCCTGCAACTTTCACCACAAATCTGGAGACTGGGACTTAAATTATTTCAGTGAGGTAGTCATGTGACATGTGAGGGCAGACACCATGAATTATATCCAACTATAGCTTGTTTCTGATTAGTTGCATATATGATAAGATTTTGTAGGAAAACTCAAGTACTCCTTCCACTCTTGGACAAGCCATCAGACAATTGGCTATTCCTAACCCTGAAATAATTATCCACACATCGACTACAGAATAATGATACTCATAAAGTGAGTGAGTTTGATTTTATGCCGCTTTTCGCAATGTTCCAACAATATCACTGCGGGGGACACCAAAAATGGGCTTCACATATTGTACCCATGTCGGGAATCGAACCCGGGTCTTCGGCGTGACGAGCAAACGCTTTAACCACTAGGCTACCCAACCAACCCATACTCATAAAGACAGCACATGCCGTGTAATGACTCTGTAGTCTTAGAGAAATCACCAAAAGGATGATGTTATCAATTTCTCACCATAACATGCCAATACATTTTAGGTTTAATGGTTTTAGCTGACACTGCAAACTGGATAGTAAAGATGTCTGCTAATACATGTTATCACTTGGGAGATGATGATTCAGCGGTTTTACTGTTGCATCAAGATGGCCGACTATTGTCAGACAGGACTCCTACAGGAGTGGTGGTAAAGGGTGACAGTATCAATCCATGTCATCAAGAAATGATTCGTACTCGGATCAAACTCTTCAGGCCAGAGTGGAAGGTTATTAATGTTTCAGTCAACAATGTCACAGCCCACGTCCCTCTGTCTGGGTACCATGGTACTCACTCTGCCAAGCCACACCATGTCATTCCGAGACCACACAATTTGATGCTAGTATTGTCACGGCATACAGTACCAATACTTTACGGATCATAACATCTCTATTGGTCAGGTAGCTGTGGCTCAAAGTATCGTCATACACCAATACTTCACAGACTGTAACAGTTCTACTGGTCAGGGAGTCAGGTACAAAGTATCGTCATACACCAATACTTGACAGATTGTAACAGTTCTACTGGTCAGATAGTCATGGCACAAAGTATTGTCATACACCAACACTTCACAGATTGTATCAGTTCTACTGGTCAGATAGTCATGGCATAAAGTATCGTCATACACAAAACTTCACAGACTGTAACGTACAGTTCTACTGGTCAGGGAGCCATGGCACAAAGTATCGTCATACACCGACACTTCAGAGATTGTAACAGTTCTACTGGTCAGGGAGTCGTGGCACAAAGTATCATCATACACAACACTTCAGAGATTGTAACAGTTCTACTGGTCAGGGAGTCGTGGCACAAAGTATCATCATACACAACACTTCACAGATTATAACAGTTCTACTGGTCAGGGAGTCGTGGCACAAAGTATCGTCACACACAACACTTCACAGACTGGTAATATGCTAGGAAATCAAGGGTGACACACAACAAACAAACAGATGTATAACACAACACTCCACTATTCAAACAAAGTGTGTGTCACTCACACTCCCAACCCATAGCGCCAGTATCTGCGGCATGGAGAAAAGTAGCAGGTGTTAGTTGCATTTCCTTATAATACTCACACTACACATTCCTGTCTCGAAAACAATCACTTGAATGTTAGACTTCTAAATTTGACATCTACATTGATTACAGGTGAATTTACTATCTCCTTTCACTACAGGTAGATTTACCGTCTACATTTACTGGAGGTAAAGTTAATATCTACATTGCTTAAAGTAAAATAAACCATCTACACTGAATAGAGGCAAAAATATGATGATTAATTTAAACTGAAACAAATGCCATCTACATTTATTAAAGTGAAAAATACCATCATTTGTTATTACAGGAAAATAAATCATCAACAATTATCCAAGGTAAAATACTATCAAAGTTGATTACAGGTATATATATCAACAGCGTTTCCAGGTAAAATTCCATGAACATTAACTCCAGGTAAATACGTCATCAACAATATAAAACTATCAAAATTAATTACAGGTAAATACAAAGTACATCATCAACAGTGATTCCAGGTAAAAGCACCATGAAAATTGATTACAGATAAATGTACGTCTCCACTGATGAAAACAAATTTGGAAAAACGATCACATGTATACACATGGTATAAAAGAACTAGAATTCTAGTGGTTATTTTAATTTCTGACATGGCCATGTGGCCCCGGCTAGCCCCTGTACAAGGCAGCTGATTCCGGCCACGTCTGTGACACGCTACCCACAATGCACAGTTGTACCTACCTGGGTCTCATGACATCAGCTGCTATTGTTGTATGTGTGAATTCCTCTTTACTGTCCAAGTACGGGTAGCCGTTCAGCCGAATATGAGCATCATAACTTGCAAGTTAAGGTTCATAGAAATAAAAGGCCATTATTCCCTAACAAAGAATTGTGATTCCGGAAACTGGTAAACCATTATTTTTACACTGGGAATGGAATAACCTTCATTTTATATTATTCTTTTTTCAAACAAATCAGACAACATACTATCGACGCTGGATTTGTGGGTTAATTAACAATTGACTTCAACAGTTTTTGCGTTTATGAGTTATTAATGTAAAAAAAACTGTGTGCACACTATGTAAATGCTTATTGTGTACTCCATAAATGCAAAAACATATTGAAGTCAATTCTTATACATAAATATGTAAACAACAGTGGCTTCCCAGGCTGCTCATTTAATCATTAACACAGAAACACTGCAGTCCCACCCATTCTAGAAATAAGCCAATCAGGAAACAGTAGTTGTTTTAGTGGGTGTGGCCGAGATGTTTTTCGGTGTAATGAAACAAACACCAAACATAATAGCTTGGTTAGCCAATCAAATGCCGTGGAATCACTTGCACTTTTCTATTGTGAGGCAAGGATACATCCCCTCTTTGCCGAGAGCATCTCCGACCCACTTGCTGGTGATGGCAGCGGCCATGATGGGCACAATGTACTGCAGACCACCGGTCAACTCAAACATGATGACCACCAGGGACACTGGAACATAAACAGGATCTATGAGGAGGGCGTTGGGTTTAATGATGCTTAAATTAACACAGTAAACTACGTTTATAACGAACATGCTTATAACAAACTGACTGATATAATGAACTTATTTTTTAGTCCCGGCCATTTGTTGTGTATACGAGAATCTGTACTTTACTAAGAAAGTGTTATCCCAAATATAACATATGTTAGCTCACTGAGATACCATGCCGCAGTTTAACATGAGTATCCCACTCAGACACAGTATACTGACTCTGAGCCGCCCAGTCCTTGTTTTAGCCCCTTAATGCCGAGCGCCAGACAGGGTAACAACAAGTGCCATCTTTTAACGTCTTTTGGTATGACGCGGCTGGGGATCGAACTCCGGGCGGACGCTCTACCACTAGACCACGGAGGCGGTCCAATGAATTTTAGAAATGTAATACAGTCTTAGTGATCGCTTTGCATGAATTCAGGTGCATGTCAACAGTCAGGTGTCACACAAACTTAACAACACATTATCTGGGCAACATGTATGCTGCTGAGTGTTCATCATAGTTTAAGGATTCCTTAAAACAGTCTAAAACATTGTTTTGGCTGAATTGTTTCATCATGAATCTTGGCAGCTTAATGTATTTTTTCCATTTCCTGTATACATCAGATCATTTCAATCCAGTCAACATGCAACATTTAGACAAATTTAAAAGTAACTCAAATACTTCTGTAACTTGAGGCCATTCAATACAAATCAATAAAGGCAAAACCCCTTCTACAGTCTACAAGCTGTTCCAGTTAATGGTGATTTTGCACCCAGTTGAAGGCATCCTCACAAAGGGGAGACAACTGACCTGTCATCCTGGTGACTCCCCCCAGGGCTGCGGCAGCACCCACCATGGCGTACAGTCCGGGCGTCACAGTGCACGTCTGCTCCGAGTCACACATATTGGCAAAAATCGGGCTGTCCTGGTTAGTTCTGATGAGACAAGAGTTACAAATATGAGTGGTGATTAATTCAAATCATTGATCGTCTCAGTCTTTGTCAGTCAAACTGGTCACTGAAAACATGGGCAACAATCCATGGCATTGGGGTATGATGCTACACAATCAGCCAGCCCATAGAGTCCAAGTCTGAGGTACTTGATGTCTTTTCTGACCCAGAATTCACACAAGGGTTCAGTGACCAAGTCGATGAGTGTGTTTGGTTTCACGCCACTTTTAAAACTATTTCAGTTACATCACAGCGTTTCAGCTTGATGTGGAAGGAAAGCCTGACGTGATGCAGGTCTTAGACATCTACCACTTAGGGGAAACAGACAAGAATTGGATTGGTGCTGACAAACCTAGAAATCAAGATTCAAACTCATGGTCGTTTCTAGCATACATAAGGTGAGTGAGTGAGTGAGTATGGTTTAACGCCGCTCTTAGCAATATTCCAACAATATCACAACGGGGGACACCGGAAATGGGCTTCACACATTGTACCCTGTTAGAAATCGAAAACGGGTCTTCGACGTAACGAGCGAACGCTTTAACCACTAGGCTACCTGACCGCCCCAGCATACATAAGGGACACAACTCTGAAAATCACTGCAATTCTCTGCAAGTCTTGGTTAGCTCTGAGCATATACTGTTACACATATTACAGATACTGGTTATTAGTGAAAGAGTGAGTGAGTGGGTATGGTTTTACGCCGCTTTTAGCAATATTCCAGCAACATCACGGCAGGGGACACCAGAAATGGTGTTACTCCAATGTCAGCCATGTTCAAGCTATATGCTGGCAGCCTGTAAATAATCAAGTCTGGACCAGGAAAAGCAGTGACTGAAGACATGAGCCCAGATTCATGCACTGGAGAAAGATTGTAACCACACAATCCTTAGTTGGCTGATAAGGGCTACAATGGACCTACTCTGCACCACACTGTGAGATAAGCATGGGGCCTGATCTTCCCAAAGGTGAGGTGAAATGGGGTTTATTGTCATGCCCGGGCTTATTGCAATTATGTCGCAACATGCATGCCCGAGTTTGTGTGTGTGTGTGTGTGGCTGCTTGTACTATTCCGGACTGATGCCAATTTATAGTGCTAGCCCACTGAGATACCATCCCCCAGTTTAACATGGATACCCCACTCAGACACAGTATACTGACCCCAAGCCGACCAGTCCTTGTTTTAGCCCCTTAACCTTTAGCCTGCTGAATTGGTTTCACACTTCTTAGCCCTGCCTGCTGGATTAATTTTAGCATAAGTTGCTCTAAAGAGGTAGGGTGATTTCAAACAGTCGGTGCTTCATTATACAAGGGCCAATTGAAGAAATATTTTGCACATTTATTCCTGATAGATATATACACATTACTGTGTAAAAAAATCCTAATTTTTCAATCATACCAAGGTTAAGACCAAAACGAACACAAAATTTGTAAATTTTCGTGATCTTGCCTGAATTACGTTGTTGAAAGTGGTTTACGTTTCATGTTAGGAACCTTTTTAAATCGTTAAATTTGTGCAAATTGATTTCAATAATCAGATCTCCGATATCTTAATTTTAACTGAGTGTTGAGAGCTTTAATGACAAGCGCCAGACAGGGTAACAACAAGTACCATCTTTTAACGTCTTTTGGTATGACGCAGCCGGGACCTTCTGCTCTCAGAGCAGACGCTCTACCACTAGACCACAGAGGCTGTCTCTTCCCGAAGATCCCCATGGGGAGACAAACATGGGATGCCACAGACCTTGATATCCCGACAGGTGGCAATAGGATAAGCCAAGTCATAGCAGAGAGTTGTACTATTCTGAGCCTAAACCATGCAAGAACCTTTCATATTCAACATCAACTACGACAGCATGATCTGACTAAAGATCTGGCTAAGAGAAGCATCACTAATGGCAAAATATTTTGGTGATAAGAAACACATACACCAAATAGTATGGAAATTTTCATTGACAAGGGGCCTGTTCCAAATCACTTTGTGAGTAAGTGAGTATGGTTTTACACCGTTTTCAGCAATATTCCAGCAACATCATGGCGGGGAACACCAGAAAATGGGCTCCACACATTGGTTCTCAGGCAATGGTTTTTGAAAATATAGCGCGGGCGGGCTCCCTACATATATGTATTCTTTGATGAGTAAATTAGTGGAATACAGTATTTGACTACCGTTGGATTTGGAATATTTAAGGATTTTTAGGGTTTTTTTAAATGGAAATAAAAACGAAACGTTCGGCGGACTTTGTGATGAAGCGGGCAGTGTCTGAGAACCAAGATTATTTTTTTTTGGTAGCCTTAACTACTAAGCTACCCCACCACCCTCGCTTTGTGGAAAGGGGCCCATGTCATTTTCTTAAGTTTACAATGTAATTGACGCTTATTTTACAAATATTCTGAAGGTAGGCTGTTTCCTATAAGTGTAAGCAAATCTAGCTGACTTACAGGACCAGCTGTTCGACACCAATGCCGATAAGACGCCCCATGATTGCACCAACCGCCATGCTGGGGATGAAGAGACCACACGGAACCTGGAAGTAGAATGTGTCAACAATGTAGAACTATTTATCATTACACCCTAAAGAAGCTACTGTAAAATCCAAGGTAACACTGTCGTGGGATGTCCTCAGACCTGTGGGTAGCAGTAACAGGCACACAGGTCTGATTATAATATTATTGTATTCGGCATTGTGGAGTGGAGTGGGCAAGCAGTCAAAATTGCCAGGCTAGCAAGTGCCAGGTGCTGCGATCACATCCCCCTAGTGACTGGGTTGTTGAGATTGCATCCCGCTAGTGACCGGGTTGTTGAGATCGCATCCCGCTAGTGACCGGGTTGTTGAGATCGCATCCCGCTAGTGACTGGGTTGTTGAGATCACATCCCGCTAGTGATCGGGTTGTTGAGATCGCATCCCGCTAGTGACTGGGTTGTTGAGATTGCATCCTGCTAGTTACCGGGTTGTTGAGATCGCATCCCGCTAGTGACTGGGTTGTTGAGATCACATCCCGCTAGTGATCGGGTTGTTGAGATCACATCCCGCTAGTGACTGGGTTGTTAAGATCGCATCCCGCTAGTGACCGGGTTGTTGAGATCAAATTCCGCTAGTGACTGGGTTGTTGAGATCGCATCCCGCTAGTGACTGGGTTGTTGAGATCACATCCCGCAAGTGACCGGGTTGTTGAGATCGCATCCCGCTAGTGACCGGGTTGTTGAGATCGCATCCCGCTAGTGACCGGGTTGTTGAGATCGCATCCCGCTAGTGACCGGGTTGTTGAGATCGCATTCCGCTAGTGACTGGGTTGTTGAGATCGCATTCCGCTAGTGACTGGGTTGTTGATATCGCATCCCGCTAGTGACCTGGTTGTTGCGATCGCATTCGGCTAGTGACCGGGTTGTTGAGATCGCATCCCGCTAGTGACCGGGTTGTTGAGATCGCATCCCGCTAGTGACCGGGTTGTTGAGATCACATCCCGCTAGTGACTGGGTTGTTGAGATCACATCCCGCTAGTGACCGGGTTGTTATTCAGCCTTGGGATCAACGATGTTTACAGGTCTTTACAGTGTTGTCACTACCCCCAGTGTACAGTACATACACCCTGTGCACTCACACAAGAGCGTACCCGATATCCGAGGTGAATGTTAAACCTTCTAGTGCCCCGAGGCAGCTTGCGTATAGTCCCCAGGGAGTTGAGAATAACTGGAATGCAAACGGATCCACTGGTCGGGCAACATATATAAGCACATTTGAGCAGATACTAGTACCTGGATACCTGCTGTTAATAATAATGGCCCCCTGGAGAACACTACAACTCACCTTGAGACCAAAAGTCCATATTGTGATGAGGGATTTAAAAATGAGTGCTAGTGACAACTTCCATAATGCTGTCATGACACCCTCTCCAGCTACAGCGCTGCCGATGAACGGCTTCGACTGGGTGAAGTTACGGTGGTAGTCACTGAAATTAGGATTCAGGGAACATGTAAGTTAGAGCATAATGACCGCATGTTACATTATACACACGATGTTTTGTTTGTTTGTATGTTCTTTAACGTTGTACTAGGAAATGTTCCAGCTATGTAACGGTGGTCTGTAAATAATCTAGTCTGGACCAAACAATCCAGTGATTGACACATTGAGTATCAATCTACGCATTTGGGAAACGATGACATGCATCAGCCAAGTCAGGGAGTTGAACCACCTGATCCTGTTAATCGTCTCTCAAGACAAGCTAAAGAAAACCAATTCTAACCTGGATCTTTATACACAAGAAAGTATTGTACAAGATGTATGACGGATGCAAACTAGTTCTTCAATAACGAACAAAACATTGTACAAGTTAGTTGGATTAGTGACTTATATATAGTACAATCTGTTTAATTTATTTAAAATAGCATTATTTCTTGATTACAGAAATATTTCTCTGAACAGGTTTGAATCCTACATGAACATTACAATAAAGGACATTTTGACCTCCACAGTTAAACCTGAAGAGGTAGGATGGTTATAATGGAGTTCTCCAAAGTTATCTCCCTTTGACAGGCATGGTTACAAATTCTAAGATTTGTTTGTTTGTCTGTTGTTTAACACCACACTCAGCTATATTACAGCTATATGATTGCAGTCTATGGATAATCAAGTCTGGACCAAACAATCCAGTGATTGTCATCATAAGCATCGATCTACACAATTGGGATATGATGACATGCATCAACCAAGTCTGCAAGCCGGACCACCTGATCCCATTAGTCGCCCCTGATGACAAGCATGAGTTTGGTGAAGACCAATCCCAACAGGGTACAGGCTGCCATGACTTAATTGGAATATTACGACTAGTCATATTATTGTTCAGAGTTTTATTGTTCTCAAGCAAAATCTCTAACCCAGATCTTCATGGGGAACAGGCTTCCATTAGTATTATGACTATAACGTTCAAACTGTACAACATTCTCTCAGTGCTGGTAGTAATAAGGCTTGGGTTTTGATTATTCTCAAGCAAGCATGGGTTGCTGAAGACCAATTCTAACCCGCATCTTCACAAATTCTAAGACACAATATTTGCTGAGAAACACCATGAGTCACAAAGTATTCTTAAGCAGACACTCACCATAACTCCAGACTGTCCTCTGGCCCACAGCTGCTGACTAACAACTTGATCAGCTCACTTGTGTTCATTCTGCAACAGAAAAAGACTCATACACACACCTTTGAAAGTATTTTTTCAAAACTGATCCAGAGGACTAGTGTGACCTTTATTTCAGTAGAGCTCAGAGTTCGTAGCTAGTCCTGCATGAACAAGACCAAACATGTTTACTATGCTTACATATTCTGTCGGTTTCATAAATTTCAATTTGTAGCAAACTGGTTGAGAATTATAGCCCTCAAGTACTACTAGTCAATGAGGACTACCATCATTGGATGTTTACTTGTCCTCAGCACAATTTAGTAGTCTCGGGTTAGCGGACTAGCGTGAATTACGAAGGCTGTATACACTATGTATATAATCATGTTCAATATTTCTCAGTCAGTGAGTGAGTGAGTGAGTATGGTTTTAGCAATATTCCAGCAATATCACGGCAGGGGACACCAGAAATGGGCTTCACACATTGTACCGATGTCGGCAATCGAACCCGGGTCTTCGGCGTGACGAGCGATCGCCTTAACAGCTAGGCTACCCGACCGCCCCCTAATATTTCTCAACCAAGTATTGAAGTTGTGACTGAATGTCTCTTTACACTGCAGAGAGCATAACAGAGTTCGGGCCATACAAACCAGTGGGTCATGGCACAAACAAGGATCTATCCACAGATCTTGATGCAGTGAGGTATCAGAGGAAAAGCGTACAAAGGTGAGGTGAGGAGAAATGGGGTTTCATGTCGTTTTCAAAAGTCTGAGCACCAGGCAGGGTAACAAGTTCCACCATATATTTGGATATGACGTGGCTGGGGATCAAACCACTGACCTTCGGCTCTCCGGGCACACGCACTATCTACGAAACCATGGCAGGTCCTGATTCTTATGAGATGGATACAAAGAGTCACTCACCTGGTATAGGAGTTGGGGTAGCTGAGCAAGGCAGACGCACTATCTACGAAACCATGGCAGGTCCTGATTCTTATGAGATGGATACAAAGAGTCACTTACCTGGTATAGGAGTTGGGGTAGCTGAGCAAGGCAGTGATGAATGTCACTATGAGAACCTGTGAATAACAATAATGATAATCATGTGACTTCCATGTTACTATGAACAATGATTATTTAGTTACCACAGCTGCAGTTGTCAAGTGAAACAAAGCAGGCTATTTTGTTATCACACAAAAACAGTGATCAATAGTATACCACTGTAGGCTGTCACAGCTTGAAGTCATTGTGACCATCTGATCAACAGTTCAGTAACCCTTATGGGTTGAGGTGAAATGGGGCTCTAGATTATTGCACTCATATGGTGACACATGTGTGCATGCCTGCACACACTTGAACTAGTCTGAACTCATGTCAATTATTTAGAGCTATGCATGTGTGTGTGTGTGTGTGTGTGTGTGTGTGTGTGTGTGTGCGTGCGTGCGTGCGTGCGTGCGTGCGTGCGTGCGTGCGCGCGTGCGTTTGCGTGCATGCATGCATGTGTGTGTACATGCTTGAACTAGTCTGAACTAATGTCAGTTTTATAGAGCTATGCGTGTGTGTGTGTGTGTGTGCGTGCGTGCGTGCGCGAGCGTGCATGCTTGCGTGTGTGTGTGTACATGCTTGAACTAGTCTGAACTAATGTCAGTTTTATAGAGCTATGCATGTGTGTGTGTGTGTCCGTGCGTGTACACGCTTGAATTAGTCCAAACTAATGTCAATTTTATAGAGCTAGCCCCTACCATGCTACATGAATACCCCACTCAGTATACTGACTACGAGCCAACAGTCCTTCCGCCAGACAGGGTAACAACAAGTACCATCTTTAACGTCTTTTGGTATGCATACAGGGATTGAACTACTGATCTGCTCTCTCCAGGGGAGCACTCTATCCACTAGACCCTGGAGGCGGTCTGTCAAGCAGGGGACATATTGTTCCCCTAAACCCCTAGTGAATCAAATGTCTACTCTAGGCCATGTATGCTAATTGACAGTACCTCCATATATATCCATCACAGGCATGGGTACTGTGTAACTCACCTCAATAATAGGGTAGGTTCCCAGGGATGAAGTTTTTCTATACCGGCACCACATAATGTTGAACTTGATGAAAAAGCTTCCATAGAGGCCCTGTTCAGACAGAGAGGCTTTGAATGAATTTATTTAAAATCAGATGAAATTTGAGTGTCATTTAAGGACAATCATAAAAAAATCCTTACCAATTTACTACAATTTTCAGATATTCTTCCAAATTTGTTCTACTGACCTGACAAATGTGAAAAGTGCATACCATTTTTATGTCTATTGAAGCCAATTCTTTAATAGATAAATATGTCAACAATAATACCTTCAACCAGAACAAATTTTATTTTGACCAATCAGAACAAATCTGAAAAAACTCTGATAATCTTATTTTGGCCAATCAGAACAAATCTGAACACTGAGGATCTTATTTTGACCAATCAGAACAAATCTGAACACTGAGGATCTTGTTTTGACCAATCAGAACAATCCCTGCTATTCACTGCAGATGATGGCTTACCCCGAGTGCCCCAATGATGATGAACGCCACCAGCTCCTGGATGTACCAGGGTTCATGATACTCCACATAAAACATGACCAGATGGTCGTTGCCGAAGGGGTTGATAGACCGCAGCACGAAGGCTGCCATTAGGGCACAGAAGAAGGACCTCCACAGGGTCTTGAGAGGGAAGTAATAGCTGACCTGGAAGTACAGGGTCGCATTGAGGAAAGATGTTCTCAAGGTAATTGTCTATAATCAAATTGATGTAGGATTAAGCCTAAAGTGATACAGGGTGCTGTTCCACAAGGTGCTATTAGTGCCAAGGCGATCATAATCCCCATACTTTAACTTAGACTTAAGACAATCGTAATGTTAAGATCACCTTATGGAGCAGGGCCCCGGTCATAGATGTTTATCACTTTGGTGAAATCCACAAAGACAAAATAATAATAAGTGTGAATCTGTGATCTGAAGCCAGATCCTGGCGTAACAAGGGCTGCAACTCTGCACACAAATTGTGGTACCTCAAAGTACTGGCCACCCTTGCTTCCAAAATACAAAGAACATATGCATTATCCTTAGATAATACCTTCTTAGAGTGAGTAGAGAGTGAGTGAATATCGTTTTACGCCGCTTTTAGCAATATTCTAGCAATATCATGGCGGGGGACACCACAAATGGGCTTCACACATTGTACCCATGTCGGGAATCGAACCCGGGTCTTTGGCGTGACGAGCGAACGCTTTAACCACCAGGCTACCCGACCGCCACCTTAGAGTGAGTAAGTGAATATGGCTACTGCCATTTTGAACAGTATTTCAGTTATTGGTATGGTGCTGACAAACCAAGAAAAGTAATGATATTTTGGAGACATCATGATCTCACAGCTTGTGATTATAATGAAGGTACATAGATGTTCATTAGGCTTTACATGTTTTGGATCATGGTTCCACCGATCTTAAAAACGAAAAAATTCAAAAAGAATAAAATCAGATTAAGTCTTTTTTTCATACCGTCGAAGGTAAAGATTGCTTTTGACATTAAACATAACAATTAAATTCCACTGACAGATCTGAGATATATATATTATAAGCATCCAAACCAAGCCAACATTTATATTACAGTTAAATCCTATTGATCCAAATCAAACCTTAACATGTTAAAGATGATTACAAAAGTCCTGTACCAAGAATTTTTCTCTCGACCTAACGACCACATTTTTCACAATCAAATTCGGTAAACAAAAAAGAAAAAAAAGTCTGGCCTCATGAACAGGATAATTGCACAATAAGTATTTTTTGATTTCTCAACTGACAATGTATAAGCAAGTGTTCCATTGTTCAATAACCACATATATATATAGTTTAAGTTATTAAATACAAATAGTTCTGACATGTTTGCTAGTTTCACTGCATTCATAATGGAAACAATATACCGACATGTAAACCTCATGTGTCCTGTCAAATGTAGCTCCCATACACTGCAGCTGTTGAGATACTTAATGTGTCTGGAGGTCTGGTTGAGGAGACATGTCTGTCCAGGTTAATCAACATTTAGAAACGTAAACATATCATCAGCATGTGTAATGGGCAATTACTTACGATAAACTTACACATTTCCAAAATCACCTTGGCAACCAATGAGGTAGAAAATTTCCATGCAAAATGTCACAAAAGTGATTGCAGGTCCCATCTAATTTAAAATACCAATTATGATTTATTACTTATTCATCCATTTCTGCGTGTATATTTATGAATATATTTATGCAGTAATCATGTAGTATGCAGAATGTCCTATATTGTCCAAGCAGATATTACCTCCTCCAAACTGAAGAGTACCCCTCCGATCGGGGCGCCAAAGGCGACACTCACACCTGCTGCCGATGCCGCTGACAGCACCTGCAGACAATCACAGCGGGGTGACATTAACATCAACAATAGACGCAAGACAATTTAGTCATGACATTACTCTGAATCAAACTGGGGTCCATGATTTATAAGCCACTATTTCAATGAAAGCTAATGGACCAAAATTGTTCCCTAAGCATATTGTGCCTGACAATGCTCATCTTTTGTATAGTTCAGCATCATTGACCTTAGAATAATATTTATTTATTCTTCTTTGAGCAACTTAAATTTGAAAATCAGTAAAGGCTATTAATAGTACAATATTGAGCCCCTTGGGGAAAGAAATCAGCAGGTCCTATCTAACTAAGGGAAGCAAGTCTGCAGCACCACTAAATGTTATTGATTGTGTTCAGTGCAGTTTGCAATCATGAAAATTGGTCTTAAAAGTTTACCGTAGGGAATATAGATCTTCATCAATACAGGGGCTGAAATTATTGAAGTTCTTTTGTAATTCTTGCTCATTACGCTTAACTACTAAGGTTTCCATGGCAACCAGCTTGCAATATAGTAATTCAAACAATCCTTTCAGTTTTATGAATTTCATTTGTGCCACACTTACCTCCCTTTTCTTGGCCTCATTTCTACCATATTTGGGGAAAAGGTAAGAAAATATGTTGCCACAGCAACTGGCAACGTGGACGAAGGGGCCTTCCTTCCCAAGCGACAGTCCAGCAGACACGGCCAACATCATCCCTACTGACTTGATCAACAGCGTCCACTTTCCCAGGTAGCCTCGGATGATGAACCCGCTCAGGATAGTCTTGATCTGGGGGCAGGGTGAGTGAGTCAGTGAACTGACAGTAGCAGTATTACATTAGTACTGGGTTTGTAAATTAGGGCTAATTGTGATGTAAGTGGTAGCCGTTTACCATTGGTGGAACCAACTAGCCCACGTACAGTGCAGACAGGCCAGGCCATGGATCATCTGATCATAATCTGGGATTCGAACCCAACATCACCCGGTCCTGGTATCTAACTAAGGGAAGCATCCCTGCAGAACCAATTTATGGTATTTTTTGTACGAACAGTGCATTTGCACTCTTGACAAAGTGACCTTTTAAGTTCAACTTGTTCTGTGATCCTCTGGTATAAAAGTTTAATGGTCTAATAAGAGTTTCATAATGATCTTGTTTGTTTTTTGTTTAATGCCGTACTCAGAAATATTCCACCTATATGACAGCGGCTTGTAGTGCGTGAGTGAGTGAGTTTGGTTTTACGCCTCTTTTAGCAATATTCCAGCAATATCCCGGCGGGGGACACCAGAAATGGGCCTCACACGTCGGGAATCGAACCCGGGTCTTCGGCGTGAGACAGCGGCTTGTAAATAATCAAGTCTGGACTAGACAATCCAGTGATATTGTGAGCAATGCTCAATGCTGCTGAGGCGCAATTACATGCAATCAACCAAGTTGTAAGAGTGAATATTACCCTACCCTATTTTTTATCCCAGAGATGAAATTCTCTAATGTCAGGATGATTCTCCCAAGTGAATTTGAACCCATACCAGTGTGGCACTAAGTTAGGATACTATACTCTAGAGTGAAACTTCCCCCGGGATAATATTTAGGTAGGATATAATCCTTGCTTACAACGTCAACAACCTGATCAAACCTATTTGGTCACCTGTTATGACCAGCATAGGGTCTAATTCTAACCACAGTGTTTCTCTGATGAAGTCTTACCTCAGGAATACCCGATCCGCAAGCATAAGGGGCAAATACCCGGACCAACATGGCTGCCATGCCAGCAAAGGCCAACGCCCACAGTATGTACAGCAGGTACTTGATGATGTAGGACCCTGCATTGCCGTCACTGATGCCGAACAGACGACTCCACGAGTACCACTGGAGAAGAAGCAAAAAACTTGAGATCGCAAAAAGCAAAAAAAACTTGCATGTTGACACTGGTGAATTATAATGCATGACTTCAGTTGGTTGATTCGATGAAGTGTGATATGTAAGCAGCATGACAATAGGCTACATTGGAATCTGCTAAAACAGGAGTCGTGACTAATCATATCTGTCAATACCACTATTACCAGACAAAATTTACTGTCCCATTTTTACATTATTGTATTATCAAGATAAATGCTGCTATTTCCCATTTTTCTAGTGCTAGTACTTGTCTCAGTTGGGGAACTCCATATCTATTTTTCAAATAATGGCTTCCAAGCATGTGCAATCTTACATCACTAGTGGTGGAGTACAGTATTTACATTTTGACATTTGTCAGAGCCCCCATTTTAAATTTACGGCCCCAATTGTATACCCTGGGACCCTACAATTAAAGGCCTAACCCTGGACACCCTGGACACAAATGAATAATGCAAGTAAACACCTGCACACAGGTATGTCGGAAGACTTCAAAAACAGACATCCCAATTAATCAGATCTGATTTAGACAGATTCAAAACACATTAAACCATTATGACTGACAAGTACTGTCCAACCCTGAGCATTTAGAAAAATGGTGCACTGTAATGACAAAATACAAGATGACTGTCAAGCCGTTGGATAATTTAGCCATGACACATTTCAAACTGCAGATGATGTCTGTCTGTCTGAGTGAGTGGGTGGGATAACCTCAATGCCCTTATTAAAAGTTAATATTTTTGTTGTATCACATCTCATTGTTTAATGTTAGGGTAAGTTCTAAGTGGTGCACATCATAGACCAAGAGACATCAACTATGGGATTTGTACACATGACCAGTGGATCCTGGTCATGCTAGGGGAGGCAACTTAAGAACAGAGAAGTTAATATGGAGAAAGAAACATAGCTTCCTGAAATGTGGCTTTCCTTATTGATATCAAAGTATCGACTAAACCCTGCTTCTCCAAATAAACGATTATGCCTAAAAGAAAGCATTCATAGATATTTTTAATCATTCTGTGTGTACCCTTATCATGCTTATAATCCATTGTTGTAAACAGAGATCAGACATTTAGAAATAATTCATTAAAGAGACACTTTTTGAGGTTTTTCACTGATTCATGCATTTAAATTAGTTTTCTTTCATTCTTACATAGTACAAATGATTAATTTGTTGAAGGAGTATTTTGAGTCTTTGAAATAAAAATGAGTAAAATAAGAGTGTTCATTATTTTAAAAATCTGAAATATGACCCCTAATAAGGTCCCTTTAATACATAGATTAGTGAGTGAGTGAGTAAGTGAGTGAGTGAGTGAGTGAGTGAGTGAGTGAGTGAGTGAGTGAGTGAGTGAGCGAGCATGTAACCAGTCAGTAACACATTTCACAATGAGGTAACGGATTAAATTGAAAACTGTACTCATAACATAAGATAAATCTCTAATGTGGCAGAAGGGAATGTTGATAAAGTACATCCCCTTTTCAAACATATTTAGCATTTGTTTCTTGGCATGTTAAAATGAAATTCAAGAAAGCAGATAAATAGGGATTCTTATTATTTTGACATGCTGACACAAAAACAACCATGGTTTAATCATAAAGAAAGGGATGATTGCGCAGGGTCATCTTGCTTTGTCAATACAAGATGCTTCAAACTATTTGCACATCAAGATGGATCGCCTTTGATGAGAAAACACAACCACATCCTGCAATAGTCAACTTATTAGGGTCTATTTGCAGAAGAAAATATCACATCCAAGTCTTGACAGATTGTCAATAATCAATCATGTCTTCCAACGTCTTAAAACAATGGTGATCTGCCATGATGTCAATCTGACCTACAGTGTATCGGAAATAGGAGGGAGGCCGTACAAGGTCCATTGTACGTGTGTGTTGCTTGTTTAACGCAGCATGGATCAATATTCCAGCAATTTGACGATGGCCTGTAAATACCTGAGTTTGGACAAGTCAATCCAGTGATTGATATTATGAGCAACGATTCACACTGTTGAGGTACAATGACACGCTTCAAGCAAGTCACCAAGACAGAGCACCAGAACCATTAAGGCACCTCTTATGACCAGCATAGGTGGATGGAGACTTACTCTGAACCCCAATTCTGAGTGAGTGAGTGAGTGAGTGAGTGAGTGAGAGAGTGAGTGAGTGAGTGAGTAGATTTTTGGGTGGGTGGTCTGGCAGGGTGGTCTTAGAGTGAGTGGGTGGATGGGAGTGAGAATAAGTGGGTTTAGAGTAAGTGGGTGGGTGGGTGAGAGTAAGAAGGTGGTGGGAGGGAGAGTGAGTGGGTTGGTGGGTGGATTGGAGGGAGAGTGAATGGGTGGATGGGTGGGAGGGAGAATGAGTGGGTGGGTGGGAAAGTAGGTCACATGTCATATATCCCATAACCATATCCCATATCACCATAACCGTGGTTCAAATGTCAAACACTGTTGCAGATAGTGTAGACAACGTGGGTGTGGGGTAACAGGAATGATTTGCCACTAGTTCCAGACTGGCCTGTCATACTTAGCATCAATCAATACCATGTGTCATTCATCACACCAGTCACAATCACCTCCAGCATCTCATACAGGGCACTTGGCAACTCTCTCTACAACATTGTGGTAATTATATTACACCATTAAAGCTATATTTGTATTTAACCAAGCAATTCTCTCATCATTCTCACTGACTCAACACAATTATATAACTGCTCCACGTGTATTATTCTTACTGGTAAAACCTTGGGGACATATCACAGCTCCTGATAACTTGTGTCTGTGTACGCACAATAGATCACCATTACCCAATTAATTTTGAGATGCTTGCATACATAAAAAACCCAATGCTATAAGAACACTAGAGTACATGTATTTCTTAAAATATCTTTATTTACTGGTTGAATGGATGTATCACACAAACATGAACTCTTCTACAGTGAATAATGCATTAAAAAGGTGCTACATTTTTCTTACTGTTGACATGTATATCACTGACTGAGTGAGTGAGTATGGTTTTATGCCGCTTTTAGCAATATTCCAGCAATATGATCAGTGTTTGAATAATATTTTGAATGCTTGACTGTGTGTATGTTTTGTTATATTTCTTAAAAATCACCTTGGCACCATTTCCAATACTTGTATTTAATTTTCCCCAAATGTAGACATACATTGTCTTCAGAATGTGAGGGTGACCATTGCCCTGGATGGCCATCCTCCTCATGTAACAGGGAAAAGGTGAAATAAAAAAAAAGAAAAAAAAGAAAAAGAAAATATATATATATTCCAGCAATATCAAGGCAGGGAACACCACAAATGGGCTTCACACATTGTACCCATGTCGGGAATCGAACCCGGGTCTTTGGTGTGACGAGCGAACACTTTAACCACTAGGCTACCCGACCACCCCTTATCACTGTTGTGAGTCCATGAGACATGTTAGACACTTGGGGCAGCACACAAAAAGATACATATTAGAAGTCATGAAACAGCATTACAGTCAGAATTTTCTTTTCTAAATTGTATACTCCATGGTGTAAAGACTGGACACAAGGGAGATAAAACAATATTGAATACCCAAAGAAAACTATAAATACCCATATGAATGAATACACAAGAGCCAATACTTAATGGGTAAAACCGCTATCTGGAACACTGATATATTGAGTTATCCACAGCTGGACACAAGCTGAATGTTGGTATTATAAGAGTAACACTTTCTTCAGAGCATTCTTATTTACTGAAGCCTAATTTCTATATGATGGCATTAAATGCCTATCCATTGCCATCCCAAAGGCTTGTTCTTACTACAACCCCTTCTGTGATTTAGTGAAAGGGGTAACCTAATGGTTAAAGTGTTCGCTCTTCACACCGAAGTTCGATTTCCCACATGAGTACAATGTGTAAAGCCCATTTGTGGTGTCCCCAGTCGTGATATTTCTGGAATATTGGTAAAAGCTGCGTAAAACAATACTCACTCACTCACTCCGTGATTTTGTGGATCGAGCGACGTTGAACCCCATTTCACCTCCCCATCACCTTCCCTTGTTCTCACTCAATATTTGTACTACCGGTGTGAATATGATATTCTCACCTGTTAATATGATATTCTCACCTGTTAATATGATATTCTCACCTGTCCACAGTCCCCATCCTCGATATAGCTGGCATTCTTGTCCGACCAGCAACACTGTTCTTTGTTGAACCAGAAAGCCTCGAAACAGATTCCTTCTTTCAAATCTGACATCCATGAGGCGCCAATGTCAATGACACCTGCACACACACCTGTAATTAAACCGCACGAATTCATCACAGACAAGTCAACTTCAAACCTCAAGCACATGAGCGGGTGATATCAAATATAAGATTATTGCGCACCAAAGGGACACAACTTTGAACAGCACACTGCCACTCATCAGACGACTGAGCTTGAGGTGCCTTACTTATGCATGCATTAGAGATATGACAATGTTGTTGTTTGTTAAATGCACTCAGCAATATTCCAGCTATATGATGGGGTCTGTAAATAATCAAGTCAAATGATGATATTGTGAGCAATGATCCACGCCATCGGGGTAAAATGAAACGCAACAAGCCAAGTCACCGAGCCTGACCACCCGGTCAATTTGGTCACCTCCATGGGGGACTGAAAAGTGAGCGAGTTAGCTAGTTCGATGAACAGTATCAGTCATACAACAGTGTATCAACATATTGTGGGAAGAAACCCCAAGTGATTCAGGTCCTGTATGTTTATCACTTTCATAAAACTTGCGGGTAGAATAGGTCTTCAGCAACCCATGCTTGCCAAGAGAGACGACTTTGCTTGTCATTAGAGGCAACTAATGGGATAGGGTGGTCAGGCTCACTGCCTTGGTTGATATATGTCACCGTATACTGATTGTGTGGATTGATGCTCATGATATCAATCACTGGATTATTTACAGACAACTGTCATATAGCTGGAATTTTGCTGAGTGCGGTGTTAAACAAGAAACAAAGAAACAAATCATAAAACTTGCATTGTTATGGGTAAAGTGCTAACATACGAAGCAATCATAACCAGGGTAAATCTCGGATTCAAACTACCAAGTTGTGGATCCTGGCAGCTAAAGGGGGACAAGTCCGAATGAGAATCTAGCTTCATATACACATTATGTTAATTATGGCATCTGACCATTACCATCACAATTTGATTGTTTTGAGATCATATTCCTATACGAGCCAGCACAGCTGTCAGCACAATACCTTGCTCATGGGTTTCACCAAAGTGGTACACGTCAAATAACTCATCACTCAGGGCTTTCCTCCAACATTAAGCTGCCATGTCTCACATGATATAATTCAAAGTAGCATTAAACTCAACTCACTCACTCACTCAAGCAATATTCTGTCTAATGGACCACAAGCCAAATACATAATTTATCATTAAAGATGCTCAAAGTAAGGGCTGAATATTCTGAAAATTGGAATAATTCCTAACAACATCAAATTGCTTGTATTTGGTTTAAGACAAAACACATCAAGTGCCATCAGATGGCAAGCTGGGTCTATTGATTTTGTCTTAATATCCGAATCATTCCATTCACTCCCTGCCCACACAAAAGCACACCTGCCGTCTTGTCTGGGGAGAGACAATTACTGCATTCCTTTCAACTTCATTAGCTCAACTAGGATCTCGGTAAATATTCAGCTCTTTTCTCTGCATTTGACAAATGCAACTTCTTAAAAAAATATTGAAGTTTTCAAGACTAAAAAGTAGTTCTTTCTGGAATTATCTTGAATTTGTCAAGGCAGTATGTTACCATGGTTACCCTTCCTAAAGTATGAATCTCTGCAAATGGTTGATGATGCCATATGAGGGGATATTAACTCACTCACTCATTATCATCTAAAGCGTTCACCTCTCATTTTACTGTTTGGCTATTGCTTGACAGATTTATTCCAGCTACACCCAGTGGCTGATATTATGAGCACCAATCTGGTACAATGAGTCACCTATCTTCTAGAGGCAAGGGAGTTAACTGAGTCCAGTTTCCACTCTTGCCGAACTAGGCTGGAATTTCTTGGTTTGATCATAGCTCCGCCAGTGGTTATTACAAGTTATGTCCCTTCTACGTCCCTCCTACTGACCAATCAGATTCCACCTCTGATATCACATGCATTTACTTCAAACAAATGGCGGCACCCAGTGAAGACAATCTCATCGATAATCAAGAATAATATGGACTTTCATAGTCAGTTATCACCCTTTCCTCAGGAAGATGCGAGTCACCATGCAGGAGAATTGTTAACTGTTACTAAAATGTGTACATTAGCGCCACAAGGCTCTGTAGCTCACCTGACTTATGAAGCAATAGTTTGATGACACTTCAAACTTATTTTGGTACAAATATCAAAAGTGAGTTGGAGAAAAATTGGTGCAAGTTTTTGTGAAAAAGACAGGAAAATATTTTGCAAGATTTAGCAGTCTGATGCCTAGAACACACTTGGGTCTTCGTAGGGTCATAACATTCAGATAAGCCATGTGCCCAGAGTTTTTTTTAAAAATTGATTTTTTAACTATTTAAAACTATTTAAAAAAGAATAAACAAAAATTTCATTGATTTGAACAAGATAAGATGTCCTCTTCAGAAGGTACTCACATACCAAATTTCAGTTTCATCAATCAACCAGTATTAGAGAAGATATTTAAAAGCATGCTTTAAGGGCAAAGCTTTTTCAACTGCAAGGATCCGGAAATCTTTCTTAGCCAATCGGATGTTTTTATTTTGGTCAAGCCCACCTTATATTTGACAGTTACTGGTGAATGTTCATGTATGAATAAAATCCAGGGTCACTTTCATAACATTTACCATATTTTCTTGAGTATAGTTCACACTTTTTTTCTATAAAACACACCACAATGAGTCTTGATGTTATATCCCCAACACAGACTAAAGACATTATTGTGAGTAAATACTGGAAATAGCATGTCCTCAAATCTGTACTGAATTACACAAATTAATCCTGTAATTTCACTTTCTGGTTGTAAAAAGTGTTAATTTTATGTAGGGACTTATGTTTGTAATCTATTTTATTAAATTGATTGAAAATTCCATTCAATATTGTTTGCATTAATTTCGGCGAAATAGTGTGTGAAGTGACTCACTGTTATTTACAGCAGCCATGGTCAGATTACCAATATTGACGCCTTGAAATTAACTTTAGTTGACAGAGAATGGATACATATGTCATAGATGCCACACTTTGACTCAATAAAAGTCATATTCATTGTAGTTCGACTGTTTGGCTATATGTCAACAAAATGTTTTCAAGTCCACAAAAAGTCTCGGCAGTGACGGATCAAATTGTTCCCAACGTAACAATATACGGCAATAGAAATCAGCTGTTCCAAAGTGCTACTCTTATGGATATTTTTATTTTAAATACATATGGTAAACGCTGCAACTAAAATAACATGATATTGGAATATATTTTCTAATAAAACAATATTTTTAAATACAATGTGGCATCAAATTTTGGGGAAGTCATATTATTGTGTATTTTTTAACTGAATTACCGGCAGATTGGTAGGAAGTGTGTACACATGATTGCTATTTCCGGCTTAGTTTATGCAGGGATGAGAATGGATATTTTCCCTTTCAGCTGAAATGTCTTTTAAATGGAGAGTGGTCCATAATTTGGGGGTGTTTATAGGGGGTTCATCAGAACTTATCAAATTTGCTTTCACTCAAATTTGCAGATCCGCGGAAGATTGTCATCCCTGTTTGAGAAAAGATACACAGTAATCTTAATTTCTGCATATAAAACAATGCTTAGCAGAACTGGAAAACTACTAAATCATCATGTCTACTGATGTTTTATCTCAAATCTCACATATTATTGACCAATTAAAGGTTGTCTTAATTCCCTGAGGGAATACAATGTAGTTTCTTACTGCGCATAATAGGATGTTGACCAATAGCGCTTGGTCACTTCTACAAGTTGCGTGTACACTCATCAACAACAAAAACATGCATCAGTCTGGCTGCACCTCTTTGTTTTATATCCTTTGTTATAATATCCAGTCTCAGGTTGTAATGTCCTGCCAAAATTTCTCAAAAATATCCGGTTGGCAAACTTTAAAATGTCAGGTTTGCACGTTTTCAAATCAGACATTTTGCATTCACAAGTCCTGCATACAGGCCGGTTTCTGGATCCCTGTTGGACTGCAAAGGTCAGGGTTGCCAGGGGTAACAGGGTCATGTACCCTTTTAAGTAGTCTGTCAGACGAAAGTGACCCCTGACTGAATGTAGATCCCTGATGAAGCAATGGCTATTTTAGCTCTGACCAGGCATGGTGTAACTGACAGTAGTCTAATTGGCAAATCTGTTGGCCTGTCATCTGTGGACAGTGTGGGCCTGCTTGAACTTCTCCTGTATCAAAAGGTGTAGGATGGTGTGAAACTTTGCCTGGACCAACCTGCTGACAGCCTCTCCCATGAACAATTTCTTTCTTTAAAAGTTTGGTTTCCATGGCAACCATATGCAAAAGCCTATTTTTTCCATTGTTAATAAGGGTGGTGCAGTAGTCTAACGATTTAATTGTTCATCGTCACGCCTTTAATCTGGGTTCGATTTTCAATGTGTGAAGTCCATTTCTGGTGTCCCTTAATAATGATAATAATAATAATAAGAAGAAGAAGAAGTGCATTTATAATGTGCCAGATTCCATTCACCAAGTGGATGCTCATAGCGCTACACTATTATTACTCCGGTCATTGGATCAGTGAGCACTCGATTTTCATTCTCAACTCCCTGGGGAGTATACAACCCAAGCTGCCTGTGAGGCGCTAGAAGGTTAACAGCCACATTACCACCTCATCCTACCGGGTACCCACTCACTGCTGGTGAACTGAGGCACATTTCAAACAAAGTCACTTGCCTAAGGAGACACCACATGTGGTACATGTGCATCAGTGTGGGACAGGACCGAAGCCCTAGAAACTCGAAGGAGTCAAGCTGCTAAATGTGGTCACCCATCCAACTACTTTCCGAGACCGACGTTGCTTAACTTCACCTGATTTGTGATCTGTGCGCTGTGCACAGGACCACTTGCCGTGTTATTGCCGGAATGTTGCTAAAAGTGGCCTACAACCATACTCAGTCAATCATTCCAATTTTCATGGGGTTCAGATCAGGGCTGAGGGCTGGCCACAGTAGAACACGGATGTTATGTTGTTGCAGAAAGGCCATGGTAGCTCTTGCAACATGGGGACGAGCGTTGTCCTGCTGGAAAATGTGTT